GCAGGGGTATTTAGGGGGCCGAGGGATTCCCGGGTGGGGCAGAGGTGGGTTTGTTTTTTTTTTTCCCCCCTAAAATCCCCCAACGAAATTATAAATTCCCCGGGTTGGTGGTTTCCCTCCCGGGTTTGTTTTCATTTTTTCCCTGGGGGGGTTTTGGCTGGCAAGAAAATTTGTTTCCCTTCTTTTGCTGCCATTCTTTCGCTTGCTAGAGGACTGGGCCCGCAAGGGGCAACGTTTTGGGTTTAAATCCCTTCCCGCCCGGGCCGAATTTCTTTTGGGGGCAGGGGTTCAGCCCCGCGGGTTTCACGGGTTGGGCCCCCAGGGGTGGGTTTTTTTTCCCCCCCCCGAAAGGCCCCGGGGGTTTTTCCCTTTGGGGCACTCTTTTGGTAAACCCCTCCCCCCCCCCCCCCCCCCTCCCCGCCCCCATTCCCCATTCCCCACCTTACGCAGCTGACATTTTCGCGTCAGGTCTGACCCAAGTGTTCGACAGCCAGGATGATTTCCCTTCAAGTACAATTGGGTTGTACCAGGTTGGTGGGGCTACTGTATGCGCATGCAGAGTGATAAAGAACAGCCGGTCGCCTGTAAGGGTCTGCGAATTTATTCAACTTTTGTACGTGTACGGCTTGTCACGGTACCATTGCCTACTAATTTGCCTATTTGCTCCATTGCCCACTATTGCCGTACTGTCGGTACCGCAAGAATCGCACAACCGGCCCTTTCTGTCGCTTTGTCAGGCCAACTTGTTCCCCCGTCTCTGTTGCGCCTTCCGCCCCCACTTTCCTCTGTCTTCTCATCTCAACTCTGCGCAGACCCCCGACAGCAGCATGTACTGGCTCGTTGGCCAGGCAGGAGAAATCAAGATGGTACGATGCTTTCGTGTGGCGGCCCTTGTCTTGCAGTCGAAATCTACGCCTGCGTGAACGTGTTGTTATTTTGGTGACGCCACGCTTGGCAGCGTTGTATGCATAGCGATGCTTGGAACAGCCAAAATAGTCGAAGAGCTGACGCGTTTTTCTTCTAGGTCGGGGCTTCGCGTTGCGTGAAAGGTGAACGGGCGTTGTAATAGCAGGCTGATGTCTGATGCCCTCCAATAATGCCAGAGGGGACCTCTTCTGTACGCACACATGTACGGTACTTCAGCGAATGCCGCAATGAATCTGTCTGATGGAGATTGAGCGTGCGCGCGTTCTGTCACTGAGTGCTCCTGGTGAATAATTAATTCAAGCACCCGTCTAGCTCGCTCATCCTGTGTTGGTGCTGATGGATGACTCCGGCGCTCTCACGTCCAACGTCCGCTCATCATTAGGTGGACCTGGACGATCTCTCAACCATGACGACAGTGGTGGACATTTCATCGGGTCTGTCGTCGGGAGAGCTCTACGTGGACTACGAGGAGGTGAGCGATGGTGGTGCCGTGCGCTAGTGGAGGGTAAGTTGGGTGTCAAGCGTGAGTGTAATCATCACGCGAGACGTTTTCTGGTTCTGCCAAAGCATGAAACACTAAACCCCAGCTGGTTGCATGACCAGACCATGTTAGTGCCAGCAGACCACGCTTGGAGATGCGCAACGACTGTCTCGTGTAGGTTCATCACATCACCCCATACTCCTTCCAACCGCTCCTGTCCTGTTGTCCCGCTCTTCGCCTTGGTCTTGGTCTTGACGACAATGACAACGACAACGACAGGGTCTGCTTGGTCTCGCGTTTTCTCCTCTTTTTTCAACTGATGGCTACCCCGCCTACTTCTACCTCAGCTACACGGTCGAGCTAGATGATGGCGTGAGTGGGGGTATTTGTGGTACGGCGGGTGTGGCCTGCATGGTAGAATACTGAGAGGTAGTTTGACGGAAGTTTCTGACGGGTGGGCCTACATGGTATGGCGAACCTAGTGTTTAGCATGTAGAGACCGAACATTAACATTGTCGCCCTCCGTGGAGTCGAAAGTACATGTGTGTGTAGCTGGTACTCGACATGTTCCTTGATGCTTGTGGTGTGCTTTTGGAGTCGTTTTCGTCGATTGCTGCCCATCGCCCTGCCGCTCCTGGTACCTACGCTTTCGGCCAGCCGGACATGAATGTACGATCGTATTCCGCGTTGAAAGTATGTACTCATGTACATGTTTAATTCTGTGTTCTGGTGACACGCTTCCCCCAGGAGAACCAACGGAACCGTCTTTCGAAGTTCCAGTACTTCGCCGGCGACCCAGCTTTCACTCTCGCTTCGGAAGAAGTTCTGTTGACTTCTGCGCCAAAGATCGGCAGTATCCACTCGGCGGGCTGGGTCGGCTTCCAGCCATCTGCCTACGGTACAATTGTGAGATGGCTGCCAGGGTCCGTTAACGTTTGCGGGAAACATTAAGGGTTAGCCGTGTACTCTTTGCTGTGTGTCGTCAAGAGAAGGCGCTATTATTTTGTGCTCTTCCCCGTCAGCCGTATGTTTTCGCCCTAGAGACTATTGAATCCTCAACGTAAAAAAGCCTGAACGATATATATATACGTATGAGGTTAACAACTAGCCCTTTCAACCTGTGTTGTGCGAAAGGGCTCACGTTGGAGCATGGCATATGGCTGTCCTCGACAAACCGCGGGAAAATATTGGCCGTTTAAAAAGCGGAAAATATATACGCTTCTTTCTTACAAGTGCGCGAGTCTTGCACCTGTTTCTAACAATTCAATTCAAGGGTATCGGGAACAGAACCATTCGTACAGCAGAAAGTCGTTGCTGGTGCCCCACGCATTTCGCGTGTGCCTTAACGTGCTCTCTCTTGCGCGCTCTCCCCCTTTTCCTCTTTACCTTGTCTTATCTGTCTTGTTTCCTTCGGCGGGTGGTCGTCTCGTATACGCAGGCGTCCTACCATGATATCTACTGGACGACCGGCGACGGTGCTTCTCAGACTGACCCCGAAAACCACGGGCAGGACACCACCAACTTACTGGGGTCCGTGATGCGCATCTCCGTCCCCGCGGATGGTACCGGCTACGAGATCCCCACCGGAAACCTAGCAAGTGAGTTGAGGGAGGGAGACCTCGGCCTATTGTAGAAGTACGGTGCAGGTGCGGGGCTATTCCCCAGTTCCCTCTGCAGGAGATATGGTTTGCCTGCAGGCCAGCCATTTAGCGACATGAGATGAACAATCACTATTCGTGGCAACACTACAACGCAGCTATCCATCAGATTGGATACCGGTGTCGTGAATCCCAGGAGTCGCAAAACTTGGTGTTCAATAAAACGAAACTGGGTTAATTTTGCTGGCGGAACAGGTCCAGCTCTGCCCGAGATCTGCGCCAGCGGCTTTAGGAACCCCTGGAGATGCAGTTTCGATCGTGAAACCGATGAGTTGTACTGCGGAGATGTTGGGCACACGCTCGTCGAGGAAATCGACATCGTTGAGTGAGTACAAATTTGTTGGAGGCTGGACTGCGTGTACGCTTGGTTTGAGTTTGGAGTAGAGCTGCGGGCATCGAGGAGTTGACCTTTGTAGGGGAAGGGAACCAAGTCCACCTGTGTACTGCAATAACACAACGTCCATGTTTCGTCCAGCTGTGAATAGATGTAGGCAGTTCTCATTACAGTATTCTGACCAGGAAACCGCCGAGTACCATTCCCCACTCTCGTATCAGCACGTACTGAAAATAGACGCACGGTTACAGGGTTTGTCCCGCGCCTGTCTGTCCATTCTGACGAAGTAACCGTCTGCACATTGGCCGCTGTCCCCGACAATCAATCTATCACGTTCACTCGAAGGTGCGGAAACAACTACGGATGGTCTCGGTTCGAAGGGAGCCGCTGCCAGGAGGCGCAGGAGTCACGCGACGGGCCATGCCTCGATACTGACCGCTCGGCCTTCACGTTCCCGATCTACGAGTACTGCCACCCTGACTATAGTTCGGACGATGCGGATGAAGCCGACTTCGTCGCCGGCGTGGACATCTGTGGCACACGCATGGTGTCCGGGACTGCCGTCATCGGTACGTGTTGCGTGCGTGTGTTTACATGTGTAGATACGCCGTTGGACGAATGAATGGTGCATGGTGCAGGGTATCTTTCAATCGTCTGGTCGCGTTTGCTCTCGTGTGGCACACTGGAATTGACGATACCCGTTTCACGGGCCTTCGGGATACCCTGCTGACTATCCACGGTCCAAACTTGAAGTTGCACGACAACGCGCCACAGACGTTCTGTAGATAGCATTGCTGGAAGAATGGTCCGTTTGTCGTGCAGCCTGTCGGTTCCGCACGGGGTGCATTGCACACCTACATGTACATGTACCGTAGGAAGCCTTGTTCATCCCCGTTTCCGGTGCAACTGCAAGATGTCCTCGCACATTGTATGATAATGCACAGACTAGACGCAACACTAACCCCGACCTCCGCTATACCCCTCTCGGATCGCCTTCTTGTTTTCGTGCCCGGCTGATGGTCGTTGTTCGTTCGTTTGTTTCAACCACCCAGGAGGGTACGTTTACCGAGGCACGTACTTTGCGGACGTGCTCTACGGCGCGTACGTTTTCGGGGACAACACCAGCAAGTGAGTGTTGTGAGTGAGTGTTGTCAAGCGCACGTCTTACGCCGGGCGTCTCCGTTGCTCTTCGTGCATGGACTGCGTGGACTCGTGTTTGTTGTTGGGTTCTCCGTTTCTCCTTCGCCGGCTGTAATAAAGTTGTCGATAGGAAGAAGCGATCGACAACAAGACTGCGAATTGAACCTTGCCAGAGCATTCGTGGCAGCAGCCCGCTTGCTTGCTTGCCCGGACAAGCGGCACCCATCTTTGAAACCGTTATGGTACTATGATCCGTGTGCTGGTTCGATGTGAGGTTTGGTGATAGCAAACCGTGACGAAGCGTTGTGAGTCGTTTTCCACTCAATCAATCCTCGTGGCGCCAAACGCCAAGCGCCCTACCCCGTAACAATCTACCCTCGTGTTCATGTGCATGCCCCGCCCTTCTGTCCTGGTCCTGGTGCACTGCAATGCAGCAACATTTACTACATCGTGCAGGACAATGGTGTGTGGTCGGTCGGGACGATCATCTCAGACTCGAGCGTCTCGGTCATCGGGTTTGCGGAGGACAACAACGTGAGGGAGAGGGGATGAAAGAGAGAATACTGCTGTAGACAACATGCACTCTACAGACATGAGAAGTCTGACCGCCTTCACCATTTGATAGTGCTCGCTCTTGCGTATATGGTGTCCCGGGTGAATTGAACATGCAGGCGCCGCCTCATGGACGTTTCATGAGAAAACCAAAGCCACGGCTAGCTCGACCTACTCGTGTGATGGTGGCCTACCTATTATAGCTACGTTTGCACAGCACCGGGATTATGACAATTGCCGTAGTCTAGATTAGGGTGATCACCGTGCATTTTTTCATCCTCCAGTTGTAACAAGTGTGCCATACGTGGCAAAGCCTGGAGAATCGACTCCTCTGTAGGGATGGACGATTTTGATGGTCTTGGTCGTGCACGTTTTCCCGCCCACCTGCGCCAATGATGCCTGCAACGATCACTCCTTGAACTTTCATGCTTACCTTGTGTACCCACGCCAACGTGTAATCTTTGGTGGACAGTAACCTCGATTTTTTCTTACAGCGGATACGAGCTATTGTACACGGGGCCCACTGAGCATCCAATCGGATTCCGTCGTGCGCAGTGATTCAACATGGCTCCTTCGCAAAAAAAAAGAGGATGCTCGCCAGGCCTTCCCATGTTGCGTTGGCATGATTCGTCAATGTCTGATGCCGCACGTCGAAAGCTGCCGTTGGTTGGCATGATTCGTCAAACGTCAAGCGCCCGCGGCTCAACAATGTCCCAAACCTTGGTTGGTGTTTTCGTTGGCTGAAAACAGGGCGAGCTGATGGTGATCGATCAGGACTACAACATCTACCAGCTGCCCTGCGGCGATATGTGTGCTTCGACGTGCCTGGACCAATCGGACCAGCAGCCCACCTACGAGGTATTGCTTGCCATCGCTATGCTGGCGGTTGTTTAGGCGAGAGCGACGTACCTGGCTCCATGCTGCGCGTCAACAGGTTGCATAAATTTTGTCGAGGTTCATGTTTGCCCAACGGTTATGTGTTGCGTCGCTAGATGGCCTCTCGACCGTGCAAAAAATAGCTCCGGGTAGCTTCGAAAACATGGTCGATTGCAAAGATTGTGCTTGTTCGGCAGCGCCCACCCAGACATGTAAGGTGGCGCCGCGTTTTCAGCACACCTTGCCTTCACGTAACGTGTTTATTTCCGCCACCAATTCCTCCCTCCGTTGTACCGTTGCACGTGCTGTAACTGCAAGAACCACGAATGCATGATGAAATCCGGGTGAACTCGCACACTGATGATGATGGTCATGACGAGAGGCTTTTCCTCGTCGAAACACCGTCCGTAGTGCGACTGCATGCTCGAAATCATGCGACTGCGTGCGCCACTAGTCAGCGGTTGTTCTAGGCTGGGAGAGCGAGCGTTTGCTTGAAATGTCTCTTCATCAGCAGTACAGGATACACAGTGTGGAGTGTTTCGCATCCTCAACACATTACAATTCCCCCCCTCCCGCCTCCCTGCCTCATCTCATCATCCAGTCCCTGGGATGTTTCGTCGATGTGCTGGGTGACCGCGCGTTGGAGAACGACGACGCCATTCGCGCATGCCTTGTCGACGAAAGGGTCATGAGCCCTGCGGTAAGTTACTCTTGTGGTCTGCTAGGGTGAGAGTTTGTCCTCCGTCATGCTGGCGAATGCCATCATTTCATGCAAAATTTTCTTAGCCGCGGGTTTCTTGGACACTAAAGATGGTGAATAAACCCCGTGTAGAGCTGATGCCCCTCTAGGTTTCAACCTCAGAGCATCGTTTTCCTTTCCTTGTACAATGAGAAGTGAACTTATTGTGGTACACGCGGCAAGCTGGGTTCGTTCACTGGGTCTTCGATTGTCCCTTGGGTAGGTCAGCCTGCTAAGCCGGATGTTTACCTCTGTCGGCCTGTTTCAACGTTCTCAAAAGGTCGTGGTGCCGATCGAAATGTAGTGGTACAGTACAGTACCTGACAGGAAACAACAACGACTGTCACCTGCCCGCAGGTGCGCTCAAAACACCCCCCGAGTCCATCCTATAGCGACTGACTCCGGTAGTGCTACTTGCGTTTCTTAGGTGTTATTCCATTCGTGCCTTCTGAGCAATGACAGCGCCGTTAGACCCAGCGAACATCATGCTGAATGCCCCTACATTTGAATGACCCCGCCGCAGATTTGTGCGTCGTACTGCTACACGCTCGGAGCTACATACGCCGGGGTGCAGTATGGGTTCGAGGTGAGGCCATCTCTGGGTCCTTGACAGCCTTGGCCACTTGACTTTGCATGCACACCTCTCCTCTCCTTGATACTAATAAGGATTCCCATGGTGCGGAGGGCTAACTCCGAGGATAGCTGTCATTCCAATTCGCTCTATGTAGCAATGTGACGAGCAGGGTTGTGGAGTGAAGGTTGGTGGAAGGTACAGCCACCAGTCTTGTTTGTCTACAGTCCAATACGATCGAAACGGTGTGCCCGGCGTACCTCTTTTCCAACGAAGCCAGTTCTTCCGTGGCCTAGCGTTGCAAGCGGTTGTCCATAACCAGGTACTGTAGAAGTACATGATATCGTATGCATAGACCAACATCTCAAATCCATCTGTGCCGTGATCCTACTGCCGCCTTGGAAGATATGGACGGGTTTTCTATCCCCACTACTGTAGATAGCCATCTTACTTCACCGGCTTTCGGAGACGTTGCCTGCCGTTGGGTACTGAGGTGTAACCCTTGCTCGCGTGGAATCGGAATCGACCCCCTCTGTCTTGAATGTCTTGGTTTGTCAAGGCCGTTGTACCTACCCCCCATCCTTTGCTGCGCCCATTTGCTCCGCTCTTGAAAATATGCAGTGCTTCTGCGGAGTGGACTCGGACTACAGCAGGCATGGTACCTCGACGACCTGCAACATGGAGTGCACTGGATATCCCTCGGAAAGTTGCGGAGGGGTCTTTAGTATCGAGGTACGCATACTGTCTCCGTGTTGAACTGTCTCCGGAGCCGGAGCGGGTTTCATTCTTGTGATATCTATCCACCCCCCCCGGCGGCCTACCTCGTCGACCAATTTAGTCTTCTCAGAGACTTGTTCACCACCCGACGTTGCCGTTCACGTAGTGAAGTTGGCCTACCGCCGGGCTACGGAGTATTGAAAACCGGCCCGAAGTGTAGTAGAATAATCAGCAGGCGGTCATGTCTCGTACGCTCGGTCCCCGCCTCGAGTGTGGTTTTGCAAGCGAGACAGACAAAAAACAATAAACGGCAATTGTGCTGTCTGAGTTCTCCAATGGGTGCTGTACCAAATGAGACACGGCTTGCGGTTTCCAAGGAGATATCGTACCATAGCGTGCCAAGTAAGTCGCAATGGGCAGTTTCAATGTTTCGGCCAGCTCGCGTGGGTTCGTCCCTCCCTCCCTTGTTAGGGAATCAACTCATTGCATTGCTATTAATAGTACCTGCGTCGCCCTGTAGCTGGCAGTTTTTCCTGTAGTACATCACACATCAAGTGCTGTCCCTATTGCCCCCACGATAGCAATGAAACAGCACATACACTCCCACCATGTGCGGACTCCATCAGCTGTTGCGTACAGCACCAGTGGCCGAGCTTCGCGTTGGTTTCCTCCAACGTACATGTACATCGCCCGCACAATACTGCTGTACAGGTCTACGAGCTCGGAGAACCGGAGGCGTCGGATTCGTCTGCGCTATTGCTGGCGGGAGGTCCAACGCCGGTAGGTCCCACGGCCTATGTTGAAGAAACTGCAGATTCCTCGTCCGCATCGTGCACTGCTTCCCATGGCGCTGGCGGCCCTCTGAAGATGATACTGCTGTCCTTCGTAGGCTTGGTGTTCATGTTCGTTGCTCTGTGAATGTGGGCTACCGTGACGAGAGGGAGATTGGTGTTGGCGTGGAATGATGCAGTTGAAGGTGTGTCGACCTCGACCGAGGAGAGCTATTGAAGTTTGTTCTTCCAAGTGCTGATGAGTACGCACGCATGTTATTGTCCGGGTCGCTATTTCTGTCGCAAAGGAAATGATTCTATTCCATCGCATGCTCAACGAAACTAGAGTGACCTGGGCTACAAGCCATTGGAATCCAGGTCGAAGAGCGTGGAGACAGAGGGTGGGTGTGTTAAGGGATAGGAAGATTTTGTCAAGCGGAAGTATCGAGAAGTGCAGGGCGAGAGAGCAACGAGCTTTCTTTTTTGTTTTTCGGCGCTCTGAAGGGTATGTAGTCTATTGTTCAAAGCATTCTAGCACACTTGTTGTTGTCGTTGTCGTCGTCATCGTCGTCTTCTTGTTGTTTCCGGAGTTGTAGGTTGTATTTTGTTGCTACTGCTGTTGTTGCTCTGTTGTCATAAGGTGTTTGTTGCGACTGCGATTGTTGTTGTTCTCCTGTTGTAATTGTGATATTTGTTGCCATTGCATCAACCAAGTTTTGACGAGCAGGAAGTGTACGTAAATTATTCCGTGATGAATATTTCTTTCTCACGTGCTGAAATTATCGTTCGGATTTTGATAAGGACGCCCGTGGATGAGGTGTAGAGGGCAGGAGGAACAATCATAGTGTTGATAAGGTTGGTTGGGTAGGATCAGCGGACTAGACAGGGAAGTATTGGGTTGCCTTGCGCCTCGAACCTCCCCGTTTCAGTCTACGTAGCTCGATAGGATCCCTTTGGGGACATTTTCGCATGGCACTCGGATGATGATGAATATTGTGGTAATTTTCCACAGGTTCACCGCTTTTACAACGTGGGAACAGAATGTTGCGAAAAATGCCAAAGTTTCCAAACTTTTCTCGGAACCTTTTTCATGTACCGTAAGAAGGCTTACTATGGCACACCCATCGTTGATTTCGCACCCATCGGTGTCATGGCACCGGGGTGCACAAAAAGGCAACAGCATAGTTTGGTTTCATTTCCACCCCGGTATCGGTGTTAACGTACTCGATGCGATATATATCAACGATATGAGGTAAATCTGTTTTTTAGGACGTGATATTCCGTGCTTCCTCAAGGTACCGGTACCCTCCGGGCCACGTTTTGAATTGCATGTAGCGAGCGGCTGTGCGGGTGCCGGCAGGTATGACTGGGGCGCCATTCCATTGTGTTTGTATATGGTTCCGTCGACGTGTGCACGTAGAAGAGATTGAAAAATGGCCACACACTTGGTTTCTTCCGTGTCGCACCCATCGCTTTCATCGCACCGGGGGTGCGTGGGAAGTCTAGAACGAAATGTTTTTTTGCGTCTCCGCACCGGTATCGGTGTTGTGGCATCCATCGGTGTTACTGCACCAGGCCGTGAAATAGTCAAGATAGGAATGATTTCAGAAACGATTGCCCCGCCTCCGCCACAGCATGCAATTCTTACCGTACGCTCTTTTTGTTTTTGGGTGCAAAACGTTGCGCTAAAAGTTTTGAAACTTTTGCTGTGTCAGTTTCGATTTTGATTAATGTTGTAGTCTATAGTCTACGGGAATTTGTTAGGGGGCTACGTTCACGAAGACCAGCCATTGACCTCCCTACTTCAGTGGGGTTTCTGTCCACGGCAAAAATTTAGAGGATTGGAGCCAGTCCCCCTCCCCCCCGATCACACACACACACCCGGGCCCCGATTGTCCACACTGGTACGGCCGGGTGTTCCGGCCGCCCATCCGGCCGCCCATCCTCACCGGTTCCGTAAATAAATACGACGATGAATACTTGGCTATGGTAGCGAGAGTACTCGGAGGCGTAGGCTGACATCATCGAGGAGGAGTTGAACGGACCAATATTTTCCTCCGATCCAGCCTGCTGCACTACCGGAGGGGTTCAGGTAAATTGCTCCTGACCCCTACTGTAGGGCAAACGCCTCCTCAGGCGGTTACCCGACAAAATGCCAGGTGTCACTTGACATCGCCCCTGCCGAAGCTCAAGATCAATCGAGCCATATCCTGCGTCTTTGCCCACCAGGTGCGAATCCTGGTGAGTATTGATGAGTGAGTCCGATATTATGCCCATTACTGATTCTTGTGAGGAAATTTCTGTGTGATTCCTGTTGGGCGTCGTCAATCGCCTCCTACTGCTGTTCAACAGAGATCGTTCTCCGCAGATGATGTATGTAGGTGCACAGCTTGGAGTCGCGTCAGCAGTTGCATACAGTAGGTGTCCCGGTACGTATACATATATACTGTAGTGCCGGTATGTGTCCAGGGGGGTGGACCGACACTGAATTGGCCACCGGCACTATCATGTTGAACGTACTCTAGTGCCTAGTGATGGGGTCCGAGTGTCGATGGAGGGGGTGTCGGGGTTACCGTCGCCCCATCCCCGGGACCTTTCCTGCAGGAATGCAAGTCTTGGGCCTGACCGGCCATGCTACCAGGAATCTGGATAAGCTCGGGTTAGACGTCCCCGACGAAGAAATGGACGCTGCCTTCGCGACCGCAAAGAAGTGGATTAGTGACAACGAGTAGAAACAACAATCCTAGGTGGTGCATGGGAGACCACGCGCTCGAAGAGACGAGTCAGAGGGCTAGTTAGGGGTTGCTCGGGTGTGTGGCACTGCTGCTTGCTGTACTTGGGAAGGGGGGGTTAGTGGGCATGCGCTGTTTCTGCTGCAGAGAATAACCGTGTTTGTGTCACGTTAGTTAGGTGGTTTCTTGTTTTCTCGGTCGTTAGGGTTGGGGGTGTGTGGGGACGGTTGTCATCAGTAGCTTTCTCTTGTTCGGGCGGGCGGGCGGGCCCCAATCGATGTTGTGGAGACTCCAGTCGGCTGTCTTGCCCCCTTTCAAGGCTCCGAGGGAAATGGATCCTGGAATGGGTTGTGGATTGATTGTTACTCTCTTTTTCTATTGTTGTTGTCTTGCGTGATGTGCCGTTTTTTTTTGTGCCTCGCTCCGCTAATTTGTGTGTCTGATCTTCTCGTGGTATTTGACTTGTTGTTTTTTTTGTTGTTCCCTTTTAGAGGGGTCGGATCACATAGTAGTCTAGACCTTTCGTGTGCTGTGTTTTTGTGTTGTCTTGCCCTTTTCGTTTTTTTGTATCTTTTTTTACCTTGGCCTGACCCTCTCTTCATGCCGTTACGAAGACCTTGTGTCTGTCTGTCTGTCTGTCTGTCTGTCTGTCTGTCTGTCTGGCTTTACTTCGATGACACGGTAAACCCCCTCTTTTTTTTGTTGTATGCCTCTTGTCGGTTGTCGGCTGGCGGGGGGGGCGGGGGGGGGGGGGGGGGGGACCAAACTTGCCCGTGGGGGGGTTCCCCGGTTTTTTTTTTTTTCCTTCCTGTTTTTTTAAGGGGGGGGAACCCCCCCCCCGTGGGTGGGTGGGGTGGGGGGGGGGGGTCCTTTCTTTTCCTCCCCTACCCGGGAAAAAAAAACCGGGTCAATGGTCCAAAATGTGCCCCAAAGGGAACACCATTGAGCTTCATAAATATATTACACACACCCCCCCGTTAAATATAAAAAAAACCCCCTACAACACAAAAAATGTTTCTCTCTCTTTTCCCCGGTGGGGGGGGGGGGGGGCGGCATTTTT